GCCGTGCCCCGGGCGGCGGCGGCGAGTGCGCCTGCGTCTCCTAAAGGCGACCAATGGTGAACAGCCGCGGGACGCAGGGGGTGGGCTTTGCGGTGCTTCAATGAAAGTGAAAAGTTTACATTGTTGACGTATGGGAATTAAGAATAATGATAAAGTTAAAAATACCATCCACAGCCCTGGACGTTGAGTCAGTTTCGGTTAATGTTCCCCGGGCGGCGGCGGCGAGTGCGCCTGCGTCTCCTAAAGGCGACCAATGGTGAACAGCCGCGGGACGCAGGGGGTGGGCTTTGCGGTGCTTCAATGAAAGTGAAAAGTTTACATTGTTGACGTATGGGAATTAAGAATAATGATAAAGTTAAAAATACCATCCACAGCCCTGGACGTTGAGTCAGTTTCGGTTAATGTTCCAGTTTGTTTCCACCGAAACGGGGGTGCTGAGTGTTGCGAGCGAGTGGAGAAGACGGACTTGGATTTGGCTGGGAATGGAGCTTGGCTGCAACAACTCAAGAGCAAGAAAGAATGTAGAGACGCCTGAAGATAGGACTGTGGAGTCCAGGCTCAGCAGCGGATAAATGAAGACAGGAGGGATGGAGTTGAGAAGGAGAAAGTGAGTGGTTATGGAGGTCTGAGAGCAGGTGTGCCGAGGGAGAGAGGAGGTGGAGACGATCAGAAGTCGTCAAAATGTTTAAACATTCCACAGGTAGAACAAACAGCCTTGGAGGTAGAACAGCCAGGAAGCCGAAACCTTGGTGTATGGGGACGACATTCTAACCAACTGAGCTACTCTGCCAAGGCCTTTATCTCTCTCTTGCAAGTGGGAATCTTGCAGGAGGGTTTCCCCGGAATATCCATCAGTTTTCCGTGTGTGCCCCTCCAGGGTCCCAGTTTCTCCTGAATGGTGAGCACCAGAGCTGGGGGTCATTAGTCATTGCACGTAGTCCTGATTGTGCTGCTTTTCTTGGCCTGGAGCTGAAATACAACTGAGGCCTAGATGTTATCTTTAGGGAGGTGACCTTCTGTATCTGGCTGTAAATTGCTCAGCCAGTTGGTTCACTATCTGTCTCCGTTTCCCCATTCTATTTTTTTTTTAATATATTTTATTGATTTTTTACAGAGAGGAAGGGAGAGAGATAGAGAGTTAGAAACATCGATGAGAGAGAAACATCGATCAGCTGACTCCCGCACATCTCCCACTGGGGATATGCCCGCAACCAAGGTACATGCCCTTGACCGGAATCGAACCTGGGACCCTTCAGTCCACAGGCCGATGCTCTATCCACTGAGCCAAACCGGTTTCGGCAAAAGTGCCAAGTTTTGTGGCAACTTGGCTAGGTTATAGTGCCCAGCCTAGGTGTTGCTGCGAAAGTATTTTGTAGATGTGATTCTTAAAAATATTGTTATTGACTTCAGAGAGAGAAAGGGAGAAAGAGAGATAGAAATACCAATGATGAGAGAATCATTGATCATCTGCCTCCTGTCAGGGACCAAGCCTGCAACCCAGGCATGTGGCCTGACCTGGAATCAAACTGTGACCTCCTGGTTCATAGGTTGATACTCAACCAGAGCCACACTAGCCGGGCTATAGATGTTATTAACATCTATAATCAGTTGACTTTAAGTAGAGTGGATAGACCTCATCTATTCATTTGAAAGCCTTAAGAGCAAAGGCTAAAGTTTTCCAAAGGGAGAATAGAAAATCTGCCTCAAGACTGTAACGTAAAAGTCCTGCCTGAGATTCTAACCTTCCAGCCTTACCTACAGATTTCAGACTTGCCAGTCCTAGCAATCACATGAACCAATTCCTTAAAATTAATCCCTTTAAATAGATATTTAAATGTATATCTTTTTAAGTATATGTATTTATATGTATTCCTACATATTTACAAAATTATCTGTATATAAAGATATTTAAATATATAAAGAAATTTATTTTAAGGAATTTAAATACATGTTCTATGGGTTCTGTTTCTCTGGAAAAGTCTGATACAATTCATTTCACCTGGTTTTGTACTTTCTGTAAATGATACAATATATACTTTCTCCATCTAGCTTCTTTGTTCCTCGTTATATTTGTGAGATTCACCCCTACTTTGCATGGATCACTCCCACATACTGTGGATGAACTAACTGCCTGAGCAGACTGGCTGCGCTGTCTAGAGCTCCTCCTTAGACAGTAGCCTGTAGGTGGCACTAAAACATCTCATATGGAACTTGGAAATGTCCTGTAACTGCAGATTCCAAGTGTCAACATCTGAAATTTTCCATGGTCTATAATAGAGCAGAAAGCATATCATCAAATTGGAAATGAAATCTTTTTTTAATATATTTTTTATTGCTTTCAGAGAGGAAGGGAGAGGGATATAGAAATAGAAACATCAATAATGAGAGAGATTCATTGATCAGCTGCCTCCTGCACACCCCCTGCTGGGGATCAAGCCTGCAACCCAAGCATGTGCCCTTGACTGGAATCAAACCTGGGACCCTCCAGTCCGCAGGCCAATGCTCTATCCACTGAGCCAAAC